ACCTTCATTCTGCCTTTCTTTTTTTAGAACAGTTTAACTTATTCCCACACTGATCTCATTAGATTCTGGTAAGGACCAAAGATAAAAGTCTTTTCATATCTCCGAGTGTTGTAGAGGCTGTGACATTAAAAGGTGGAATATTGAATTCCAGATGAACATTTTCATATATTATTGGTGCTGCCTGCCATGGCTCCCCTAGTGTGTGTGTGTGTGTGTGTGTGTGTGTGTGTGTGTGTGTGTGTGTGTGTGTGTGTTACACACCTGTGTCTCATCTACTTAGGAAACCGAGGCAGGATCTTTTGAGCCTAGTTCTTCAAGACTAACCTAGGCAGTGTAGTAAGTCTCTTGTCTCATAAAACAGTAAAAGGGAATGAGGGAGGGACAGAGAGGGGGAAGGAATGGAGAAAGGGGAGGGGAAACACCCAGGGAAGAACTGATAATGCAGTGTCTATAGATCCTCAGATGCAGAAGTCCCTTTTGCTTTATAGAAAATCACTTCTCTTTTCCATTATTCCCTTCAGCTAATTGTGCAAGGCCAACCCACATTAAGGAGGCTTCTTTTCTACCCCGCAACTATTGATTTACATGTAAACCCCACTGAAACATCCTCATAGAAACATCCAGAATATCGTTTGGCCAAGTATTATTGCAAGAAGTTCAATGAAGTTTTGTCAGAACAGTAACCATCCCATCAAAAAAGTGCACAGAGGAACAAATGAAGGGTTTGAAAGAACAGGGGGAAGGTTTGGAAAGCTGCTCACCATGCACCTGGATAAAATGGAAGCCTTCCTCAGGGTTCTCACTAACAAAGCCATTTACTTCCAGCATTCATACATCATTGGATCTGCTGGATTATATAGACGAAGCAATACAGCAGCCCAACACAGCAGAGCCTGCGCGTGCCCTGGGATTCAACAAAAACAAGCAAGTTTATGGTATTTAAGTGAGTGGGTTAGATTCACATATTCCAACCATTTAATAAATATCACCTTAGTTAGTGTTTCTATTGCTGTGATAAAACACTGTAACCATGGCCATGTGGAACAGAAATGGTTTGTTTTCTTTACACATCTACATCACAGTCCAACCTTGAAGGAAGTCATGGCACGGATTTAAGGAAGGGACCTGGAGGAAGGAGCTGATGCAGAGGCCATGGAGGAGTGCTGCTTATTGTATTGCTCCTCATGGCTTGCTCAACTTGTTTTCTGATAGTACCCAGGCCCATCAGCCCAGAGGTGGTGGTAGTATCCACCGTGGACGAGGCTCTCCTACATCAATCACTTTACTTATTAAGAAAGATTAAGAAAATGCGTTACAAGGTTTGCCTACAGCCCAATCCTATGGATGCATTTTCTCAGTTAAGGTTCCCTTCTCTCAGAGGACTATATTTGTATAAAGTTGACAAAAATTAACTAGCCAGTGCAAATATGTTGCTACACAAATGGAAAAAAAATTCCACTGAATGTTATATGCCCACCCCCACCCCCTTTTGGTGGTAGGTGGGACAAACTGCAACAAGTTACATTTCACCCGAAAAGAGATGGTTTCTATACACTGAGACCTGCTGTGTTCCTAGATAGTTTGCCAAGGTCAAGATCTTTGAAGTTCGGCTACATCTGTGCCCTACATCCTGACAGGAAGGTGTCTTAGCATTGGGTCCAGCACCATTATTTGGTCACTAGGTCCAGTTTCTATGTCATCAATGCAGTAGACTGGTGTAAAGGGAGAGACTTTGTCTCTGCAAACTGAAATGTGGCTACAGGCCTGGAGAGTTGACCGACCTGAGAAGTAGGATGGCAAAGAGCACTCCTGGTTTTGCTGGGCTAGAAATGAACTGCCTCTGGTACTCTTTATCAGCAGAGGTGGAGGAGAAGAGTCACATATAAAATATGGGTGTAGTGATGGTGTCAATTTTCTCAAGGAATGAAGCCACGCCTGTTGCTGTGGCTACCATTGGGTGACTCAGTTACGCTTATGACATCTGCAGCTGTTCTTCAAGATTACTTCCTCCATTGAATAGGTGAGTCAAGTGGAGAAGTCATAGGATTTGCCACCCTTTCCTACTTCATGTGCCTGCAATTTAAATACAAATTTACAAACATAATTGAAAATCTTTCCCTTGGTATTTATCTCTGATCTCCTTCCTAGAATGCACAATTGAATTTGGCTCACCGTTCTCCTAGTTAAAGCTTGTTCTATTGGCTTCCACTAGGCCTTTTCTACTGTAATAACCTTTATTCCACAGTTGTTCAGCTAAGAAGTGGAGCAAAATCTCTGCCATAACTTTAAGGATTTGATGGAGCTGCGCTGGGATCCCATGAATCCCATGACCTTTGTTAGCCCCCGTTTAACTTAGTGCACCACAGTGACATTTAAGTTTCCTGGAATTAGTGTCAGTTCAAATCCAATGTCCAGTAATCTATGAAAAGTGTCATTACTGCCTCATTCCCAGGGCATAGTCACCTCCTCAAAAAGCCATTATTCTCTCTGGGTTCAAAGAGAGATTAGCACACATACATGCACACAGCCCAACTATCAAGGTCCTTCTTCTAAGGAATTCAAACTCTGTCTCCTTAAGGAGCTCTGGGTTTGTGAACTGGTTCAGACTTTGAGACTTGACTGGCACTCTGGTACTGTCTTGATTTGGGTGATTCATATTTGTTTTTCTGTTACCAGGCCTATAAGCTTTTCTAGTAATGAATCTAGGTAAGAATTTAATAGACTTCCCATCTATTTCTTGGCTAGGGACACCATGAGTAGCTAACCAATATCATAGGTGTCAGTGAGTCATATTGTTCTCATCACTCCTCAAGTGAAGCCATCCATTATATTAATCATACTGTCTTGTCTTTGGTGATTCTTATCTCTTGGCCCTGGAATTCTGGGATTCATTTATTCTCATCACATCTACAGACCTAAAATCAGTGATAGGACTCTCCACTGTCATTTCTGACTTACAGAAAGAATTGACTACAAAGTTTTTCAAGGATCTTGGGACTTTGGCCTCAAGTCTATTTCTCCCAGTTGTGGTGTTGAAATGTGTCTTTTCCAAGGATGGAGTGGATCAGATCCTGCAGGGTAAATAAATCTGTTGTACTATAAATACTGTCGAATAAGGTAGTCAGCGGCTTCTGATATTTCTATCTTTAGTTACTGTATTTATAGCCTATCAAAGCAGTTCTGGTATTTTAACTTCATTGAATGTATTTAAAAGTTCATGTTTCAAACAACCTAGAAAAATTCCAACTGAGGACCCTTCTAACACTTCATACTCCAAGTCTACATCTCAATATAGCATATCCACATCAATAAATTCAACCTGATCCAACATTATGTTCATTCCACCATTATTCTGCACCCTGAGTATCCATTCCCACACACGTTCCCTAGACTTTTGCCAATGAAAATGGGAAAGCTCATGTATGTCTTCAGTGAGTGGCATAACTAACTCTTCATGGGTAATATTTCATGCCTTATGTGTGCGTACCTGCTGGGACTTCTGTCTAGTCTTTGGCTTAGAAACAGAGAAGGGAAGTAGGGTTTTTAAGGAGGAGTGGATGAAACTTGACAGGTAGCTTCCTCAGAGAAATTTCCTCAGGTAAATTATTGCCCACCTTCTCAGGTGGGAGTGAAATGCTGTTTCAGTTGGCAAAGTTTAGGTTTCTGATATCTCTTTATCAGAATGTGCCAGTCCATTTATCAAGATTCCATTCTTTTCTTGTTTTAAGACAGAGTCTCACCATGTATCCCAGGCTTGCCTTGAACTCTCAATCTGTCTTTCTGCATTAACCTACCTAGTGCTGGAAATAAGGTCTTACACCACTATTCCTCGATCCCATTTGTTTTCAGCCAATACCACCATGTTTATGGCAGATACCATAAAAGATTAGAATTTTAATTTTAATTTCGTTTGGCGTTCATCTATTTGCAGTTTGGATTTTTAGCTATCTCAGCCATTCAGATACAGAAAATAACAATTTCTTTGTTAAGAAAGACAGATGATTTCAGGTTATTTGTGTGGCACCTGAGTTGATAAATTAAAGATTCAGCTCAGTCCTTATTTCCCCACTTTCTCTAGAGCAGTTAGGAACAACTAGCTGATTTCATTAGATTCATTAGCTCGACTGCAGCTTTTTCAGGTATCAAATACATGCTCTCAGAACTTTGCCTTTTATAATAAAGTCAATATTCATTATTCACATGCACCGTGCTTGCCGATTCATCCAGTCACCAAATTGCCTTTTTAACTTCAAAAGGAACACTCACAGCACTTTTGTAATCATCCACCAGTTTGCATAGACCAGCAGAAATTCTGAGTTGTCTGACATAGACATGCCCAGCTGAAACAAGGTGACATTCTGCTACTTTGTTTCGTGTGTTATGTAGACATGGCCAGACCATAGCAACTGAGGAAGCAGTGCAGGCATTGAACAAAATATTATATCTCCGAGGGCAGTGGGGAAGGATTTGAATCACAATTCTGATCCCTACCTGTGCAGAAACCACAAGCAAGCCACTGATGCTCATTTATAAGATAAGAATAATATCTGACAAGGGAATGGCATTTGGGATTTAAAATTACAATCTGTGTGAGATATAGATACATTATGTCGGAATGCCTGTATCTGCTCTATTAGCCCCTGTTTCCCAATCACTAATTCAGTGTTCACATATGTCTGTGAATAGTGAGAGCTAACTATGTTTTCCTGGGATCAATCAGCTCTGATGTTATGTAAATCTCTATTGCCATATTAGACTAATGGACCACCAGGCTTTTATTACACAAAATAGAAATACTAGTGAATTTAATTATATTAGAGTCTCAATTTGAACTATTCCAAAGTTAGTACAAAACTGTATTCCTTAGAATTCTATTCTAGAACATGTTTACTATTCTTGGCACTGAAATATCCATACAAGAGTTCAATAGTTAATAAGGGATGGAGGAGGAAGGTGCTGAGGAGGGCATAAGGAGAAGGAAGGGGCAGAGAAAGGAGAGATTTCATGGAACTGGTTGTAATTGTTGAGGATTGAGAGGGCTGAAATCTGGAGTAGTGGAGTAGTTGGAAACTCAGGCAAGATTTGCTTCTGTAGATCCGAGACAAAATTTCTTCTTCGGAAAAACTTCCATTTTTTTTTTTTGGTGCCTTTAAACTGACTGAATGAAGTCCAATCAAATTGTTTAGAAAAATCTGAAAATAGAATAATTTTAACAGTGGTAAGAACATCTATTCTTTCTGTCCTTAACACCCCTTCTTTATTCTTTATACAAACTACCCTCATTGAAACAGGCAGATTAGTATTTGATTGGATAATTGGGGACTGTAGCCTAGGCAACTGAACATTACTTCCAACAGAGTGGGCCACACAAAATGCAAGCTTACCACATTGGTCCCCATATTAATTTTACTACTTAATATTTTAAAGTGTAGTGTGTGTGTGTGTGTGTGTGTGTGTGTGTGTGTGTGTGTGTGTATGATTTCAACATTATCACACATTAAAGAATTTTATAGGCACGGAAATTAGAATTTATAATTTTACAGACATATTTTTTCTTCTCATTATCTTTTTGTTTGTTTTGTTTTGTTTTTTTTCTGGACAGGGTATCTCTGTGTAGCTCTTGCTATTCTGGAACTCACTCTGTAGACTGAACTGGCCTCAAACTGAGAGATTCACCTGCCTTTTGTCAGCCAAGTGCCATGATTAAAGGCATGTACCACCAAAGCCCAGCATCTTCTCATTATCTTAGGAAGCATCTGCATATAGCTGGTGGGCTATAGACAAACAATTAGCTGACCAGATTTGACCTACAGATCATAGTCTTTCTCTTCATGAACTGAAATACCCAGGACAGATAGATACATTTGTTCCTTTAGGTATACTCGGTTGCTTAATAGCCACACTTAAAAGTCACACTCACCATATACAACTTCTGTTCCATAAAATTTTATTGTTTCACAGTCACGTGCCTTGTATCAAACATTGATGCTCTAATAATCCTGCATTTGTGATTCTGAACTTGGGATATGACTCATTTTGCTCAATATAATGTTAGAAAAAAAGCAAGAGGCTTGTTAAGAGATTTAAGACATTGATGGATATCCTTTGTGAAAAATTTTTCTTGGAAGTCAGTCACCATGTCAGAAGATTTACTATCCTGGGAGCACCATGCTGTGAGGAGCCCCAAACCCAGCATGTGATGTGACATATGGAATAGCACCCAGGCAACCAGATTTGAACCTAATGCAACCAAGTGAAAAAACTTATCTGATGTCCTGCAGGCAAGATGAGCACCACTAATCCACCCCCCCCCGCACCCCCCCTGCCACCCGCCCCAAATCTTGAGGCACAGAATTGTGGGGACTAACAAATCTTCACTGTTTTATGCCACTAGTTTATTTTTTTTGTTTTATTTTTGTCAGGCTGCTATATTTTTATATATTTAGTTAAAACCCAACAGTGTTTTTGCTACTGTTTAGATCATACAGTTTACACTGCACTTTGTATGCCACTAGGTTTTATGATGGTTATTCATGTAGCTGGTAGCAAAGGGCTCTGAGTTTGGTACTACCAATTTATGTCTAATTGTTAGAAATAATTAGAAATAAATATGTAATACCCTGTTGCTATCTTGGTCTTTCAAAACAGTTCCACTCTTCATTTTGAATTAGTTGTTAGTACTTTCTGGCCCACATTTTCCTCAGATTTAAGATAATGTGTCTATACTACTTGGAGAAAATTTTCAAACTGTAAAAGTTAAAGTGTGCAAGATAAGTATTATTTTTAACATAAATGATTGATATCTATAAAACAATTTGAATTATATTGGTAAATTTCCAAATACTTATTGTATTTCTTCATATACAATTTACTCTAGTGTATTCATTTATGACAGAAAGTTACTCAAATTAGGAATAGTTTCAAGACTTCTCTTGAATATTTGTTTCTTTACCCATGTCATAATGTGCTGTGGATATTGCTCTATATAAATAAAACCCTGATGGCCAGTGACCAGGCAGGAAGTAGGTTGCCAGGCAGGAAGTAGGTGGGACAAGGAGAGAGGAGAATGCTGGGAAGCAGAAGGCTGAGGAGAGAGACACTGCAGCCACCGCCAGGAGAAGCAGCATGTAAAGACGCCGGTAAGCCACCAGCCACGTGGCAAGGTATAGCTTTATAAAAATGGGTTAATTTAAGATAAAAGAACAGTTAGCAAGAAGCCTGCCATGGCCATACAGTTTATAAGTGATATAAGCGTCTGAGTGATTATTTTATAAGTGGATTGTGGGACTGCAGGGCTTGGGGAATCTGGAGAGAAGCCCTCCAGCAACAAATGGTGCCCAACGGCTCGAATTTCCACCTTAAACCTGAAAATATTTAATAACCAATTCTAAACAGAGCCAAAACCAGGTTCCTGCTTCTTGTCTCATACGGGCAGCTAGACGCAACAATAATGCACTTTTAGTGAAGATTATTTAGCCCATATATTTCTCCATGTTTATCCAGGTTATTATATAGATGTATAGGTAGATAGAGAATGGTAGATAGATAGAAGTAGGTGGTTATAAATATTGAAATATCTGGATGCCTGTACATCGCAAGGACACACACACACACACACACACACACACACACACACACACACACACCACATACACACATACAAATACACAGTAGACTATAATTTCATTTTCTTTAGCTTACTAATAGACCACATACAAAGTTCAACAATTTTATTTTCTCTCTCAAAATAGGTCAAACTCTCATTCAAATTAAAAAATTCATTTCTCATCCAGTTTTTATAATATCTGTGTAATATTCAACAATAATAAATAATTGAAGTTATTGATTGTTTTCCTTAGTTAACTGGTGTGGTGGGTAGCTGTTCCAGCTTTGACCTGGAAGTACTACCCCCAGTGAGGCTTCCAGTAACTGTCATGCCTACCTATGGCCTGCTGCAGAGGCAGGGCCAAGACAGGAACCCTTAAGACCCTAAATATGCCTGCTGTCTTGGTTCCTGGTGATCCTGGATACTGGATGGTAGACTGAACAGAGTTTCCCAGAGAACATTCTGGACTGCATTTCACCTCTCCTGGATCCTATAACCTATTTCTTTACTTGTTGTAAGCTACCCCAAAATAAACCTCCCTTTTAACTATGTGGAGTTGCCTTAATAAAACCCCCCAATAAACTGGGTCTGTCATACCTAAATCCAATAGACTAGGAGCTCCATTTTAGAGTATTTCTTCCCAAAATATTCTGGAAAAGACCACCAAGGTCTTTTGAAGATGGAGGTTGACTTGGTTTTTTCTCTTGCTTGGATAAAATACCCTAACCAAAGCCTCTTAAGGAAGAAAGGGCTTATTCTAACTCGTGTTTAAATTAAGTGTGCAGTCCACTATTGTTGAATATTGGGGTGGGAGAAGCTTAAGACAGCTGATCACATCACATCACATTCACAATCAAGAGGCAGGAAGTGATGGATGCAAGCTTCCTCTGAGCTACCATTCCCCACTTACACAGTCCAGGATCCCAGTCAGTGAGAATCAAGAGGAGCAAAGCTTTTGAGTTTGTCAGCAATCAAGAAGAGCAAAAACAGTTGGGATCACTGAAAGTGTAAGATGATGGCTTTGAATTTCACTGAAACACTAGTTCCTGGATATTTTGATTTGTTTTCATGTGAAGAGTTGCTGATGCTCCCATTCAGGGACAACTGGCTTGACTGTTGCTGTCAGAGCTGAAGACAAGATATGAGGATCAGTGGTCTCAGATTACCCTGCCCTCTGTATGGCAGACAAATTCTCAATTGTGCTTAGTGTCACATAACCTTTATAGGAGAATAATCCTGTAGACTTCTTCCAGAGCACCAGGGAATTTTCCTACGTGTCATTCAGTAAAGGGAGTCAAAGTTCTGTGTCTCCAAGTTTGTTGACAGCTTTTGCCTTAGTCTCCTTAAATGATCTGCACCTGTTGGCCCTCTGTCTTCTGGAGAGTGGTCACTTTGTGTTTTCATGGGCAGAAGATGTATACTTCTTATCATTTATACTAATTAGTTATAACCATATGCCTGACAGGAGTAACCTAAGGAAGGAAGGGTTTATTTTGGCTCATGAAAGTCAGGGTAGGAGGAGTGGGAGTCAGATGATCATATTTCATCTGTAGTCAGGAAGCAGAGAGACTGGTGCATGCTGATGCTCAACTCACTTTGTCATTTTTGTTCAGTCCATGACCCCAGCTTGAGGATGATTCTATTTCATTTCAGGAAACCTTTCTAGGAACACTCTCATATATGCATGCAAAAGTGTGTTTCCATGGTGATTCCAAATCTTGTCAGGCTGAAGACGAAGATTAACCCTCACAATGCTTGAGGACTCATTCCTGAGTTCTGATAGGTCAGCCATCCATTTTGTCATATGAATCTGTGTTGGGGCTGCTGTCCCTTCCCCTGATTTCCTCTTCTCAGGGAGTGATGCATTAATGTTCCACAATTTTGGTGGGGTTTTAGAGGCTCAAGGTTAGATAGCCATCTTCTATCCCGCAGTTAAATTCTTCAGATTCTTCTTCTTTTATTAACTCTTTTTTTCAATTATTTTACATCCTGACCACAGTTTCCCCTCCCTCTTCTTCCTCCCCCCACTTCCCCTGATGGCTCAGCTGTTAAAGGCTAGGTTCAGATTCTTCTTATCCTGAAAAACTTCTTACCATTCATGTCCAAGTTCAAAAAACAATGCATTACAGCTGTTCACATGACCAAGAAGTAGAATGATACTCCATCAGCTGTGTTACTCATAACATTGTTTTGGTATGCTTCCATTGGAGTGCGTATCTCATTGAGTTGTAGTTATTTGTGACATATTAATTTGTTGTTGGATCTTTGTGGATAAGAACATTCTATAATTCATCTTGGTATGCTCAGAGAACTTATGCTTGTTCCTAACCTAGAAAGAATTATATTATGTAAAAACAAAACAATTTTTTTTTCATTCTCAACAAATTCCATTTAAGCAATTCTATGATGTTATTAGATCACACATTGATTATTCAAAGATAAAACTCTGAAGTGAATGCTACTAATAGGAAACTTGGTTATTTCTTTACTTCTCTCTGTCTCTCTGTCTCTCTCTGTCTCTCTCTCTCTCTCTCTCTCTCTCTCTCTCTCTCTCTCTCTCTCTCTCTCTCTCTCTCTCTCTCTCTC